TGGCATATGAATGCAATAAAATGTTTGCATTGTAAGAAGTAATGAATATGAAGGATTCAGAGAAACTTTGAAGACTTGCATGAACTGATGTAGAGTCAGGTGAGAAGAACCAAGACAACAATTTACATGATAGCCACAGTAATATGAAGGAAAACAACTTTGAAAACTCTGATCAATACAGTAACCAATTTTTACCTTAGAAGACTGATAATTATGAAGCATGGCTTTTGGCTCTTGGCAGAAAGGTTAAGGACTAGAAGAATGCATTTTGAGACATGGCCAATGTATTGATTTGTTTGCTTGACTATAATTATTTGTTATGGGTGAGCCATTTGGAAAACTAAGTTAATGAATAATAATAGAGATCCCCCAAAAAAGAAAGGAAATGAATAAAACATTAAAAATGTACAGAAGAAAACAAAAAGACAAAAAGAGATAAACAAGGCAATTTCTAAGTACCTTGTTAAATATATACCCCCCAAAAAAACTGTCACAGAATTTCATATGCAACTCTCATTTTTGTTCTTTTCTGTTGAAATGTTTGTTGATAATTAAGTTCAAAAGTAAAAGAGAAAATTTAATTGAAAAAAGAACTTTAAGCTTTTACTTAAACCACCTCAAAAACACTTCTGCCAGCCCTACTTTCTTCCAGTCTAAAATTCTGGCTTTCGATTGGCAGGCTTCATTTTATTAAAATGTAAAAAGGTTACACAAAGACTAGGATCATATACAAGCTACCAAGATTTGCCCTCCTTTGCTGAACCCCATCGTGGCAACAGTTACATCTCACTTTGAAATAGGATAGCCCCCAAATGGCTAGAAACCCCACTTTAAACTGCTGATAATTCCCCATATGGAACTGATCCATACAGTATGAGCTCTCCCAATTTTCCTATCCTAAAAACCAGCTGCACTAGGTTTGTCACCAAAGAACATCGGTAATAACACCAGAAGGAAGACTCCCCCAGAATACCTGTAGAGCTGCAAATGTACCCTTCCTTCCACATGAACCAAATGCTTATTTGGGTCCACACCTCTTTGCCCTGTTAAAACCATTTTGCCCAAACGTAACAGGGTTAGGGACTAGTCTTACACTAATAGACTTCTCAAATACCTCAGCTCTAGAATGTCACCTCTAGAACGACTCTGGAAAATACCCTGTTCCTTTCATTTTCAAGGCCTCACAAGGTTACCCTCATGACAATGACCTGTGCCATCTGGTGGCACAAATCAGGGAAACATGAGTTCACTCCCCTTTAAAGACCGCCATTTCCAAATTCTACATGATGTTCTGTGTTCTAAAAGTCTTTCCTTCCTCCTGGCCACAGTTACCTCCCATCCTTCCCTACCCATTCCTAGTCCCATCTTCTTTAGTGAACTACTCTCAGGATGGTAGGGGATCACAGATCATAGGGCATGTAAGCCAGAAGAGATCTCAGAAATCATCTACTCTAACTCCTTCAATTTACAGATAAGGAAACAGAGGTCCAGGCACAATAAATTACTTTCCCAAGGACCTATTTGTAAAAAAAAAATTATAACTGCCCTTTTTTGTTATGGCAAAGAATTGGAAATTGGGGGAATGCCCATCAATTGGGGAATGGCTGAATAAGTTATGGTATAAGATTGTGTGGAATACTAATGTGTTATAAGAAATAACAAGGGGTTAGATTCAGAAAAACCTGGGAAAACTAATATGAACTGATGCAAAATGAAGCGAGCAGAACCAGAAGAACACTGTACACAGTAACAGCAATGTCATAAGGATGATTAACTGTGAAAGACTTAGCAATTCTGGCCAAGACAATGATCTAAGACAATTTCAAAGGACCCATGATGAAAAATGTTATCCACATCCAGAGAGAGAACTGATGAACACTGAGCGTAGATTGAAGCATACTTTTTACTTTCTTTATTTTTCTTTTGTTTGTGTATGTATGTGTTTCTTTAGCAACACGGCTACTATGGCTTTGCATGACTTCACATATATAATTGATATCATGTTGCTTCCCTTTGGAATGTGTAGGGAAGGGGCAGGAGGGAGAGAGAGAATTTAGAACTCAAAAATTTTTAAATGAATGTTAAAAAAAAGTATGCGTAATTGGGAAGTATTTAATGAAATACACTTTTTAATTTAATTACGTTTCCAAGGCCACAAGGCAATAAGTAACAGAACCAGCATTCAAGCACCGTTCCACTGATTCCAAATGTAACGCTGTTTTTGTTTAAGTTGATCATCTAGTGGAATACCTTTATTTTTACATATGAGGAAACTGAGTCTCAGAGAGGGGAAAGGCTTTTACCAAAGTCACATACTAAGTGAATAAATGGTAGAACTGGGACTAGAATCTAGAGGTGAGAAAAGAGGAGAATGGTGAGGAAGCTTGCATTGGGTTAAAAGTGGGGGGAAAAGTAACAAATGAGCTAGAAAGATCAAGGATGAACTCAGTCATTAGTCTAGGCCAAGGACTTTAACATAGAGGCTGGAAGGGACAGAAAGGAAATTCCAGCAAATGGAGCTCTTAAGCTTTGTAAAGAAAAAGTCAGCAGAACTTCAGAGCTCATTTTAAAAAGATGGTCATAGGAAGTGGTTCACCATCTCTACTAAGAACAATAGACACTGGAACAGGCTGGAATGTGAGTTAGACCTCAGGCTGCACATCTTCCAGGGGCATGAGAGATGGGAACGGTGAGTGTTTCAGGTTGTAAGAAATAGGAATAAGAAATTAAGATGGTTGGACAATTGTGAGGAACACAGGGCAGAAAATGAAGAACTTTAAAAATGCAATATGCACTAATGAGAACCTCGAATGAGGAAGAGTTAATGATAATGAATCAGCAAAGAATCCTAATGCGGAGGGAGGAATAGGGAAAAACTGTTATGAAACTTTATTCCCTTAAATTAATTATTTTAAATGTAGCTGTTAAGCCACATAAGCAGCTTATGTACATATTGAATGTATGTATTGTATAATGTATATATTATAATTATACACATAAGTATAGTTATTTGTATTAATGTTTAATGTTAAATTTCCACTTGGATTGATTCTGTGATTTCACTGGAGTTCAATGGAAACTCTTAATGAAGAAAATCCCTCTGTCAATGTAAGTCCATTAGATGAACAGAGACTATCTTTTACTTCTTTTTTGTATCCTTAGCTTAATACACAGTCCCTGGCACCTATGAGATGCTTAATAAATGTTTACTTAACTGACTGACTGCAACTGAAAGTCTGAGAGTTGCCTAATAAAACATATAAATTTCAAAAAATTAGTGGGAAGATCTAATCGCAAGAAGGAAAGGAAAGAGAGAACGTGAGTGGCCAAGGAGGGAGGGTGGCAAATAAAGAGAAAGGGACTCTAACGGCTTCCTGCCTTCCTCTGTAGCCCCTGCCGTGCTTCTCCCCAATCCACAATCGGTATCTGTGCCCCATTGCCACTAGAGGTCACCCCATTTCCTTTCATCGGTGGGCTTCAGGTTAAGGAAAGTGGCTGAGTAAACCAGGCTTAGGTGTGTCCTGACCTCCTTCCTTCTGAGAATCTAAAACAGCGTTCATACTGCTCCTTCCTCCCAGTTTGATAGCCTTTGCGGCTTCCTTCACGGACCCCCACCCTCATCTTCCTTACCATGCTTTCCATCCCTACACCCAGATTTGTGCCACTCCAGGGCACAAATAAGCAGAGAAGTCAGAATTTTAGCATCACAGAATGTCAGAACTGGAAGTGGCCCTAAGTAGAATGTTGGAGCTAGAAAATTCCATAGATCAGAAAACAGAAAATGTTGGGCTAGAAGGTGCCTTCGAAATTAGAACAAAGAATGTTAAAATTCTATAAAACTGGAGAGGCCTTTAAAATACTGAACATAGAAGGTTAGAACTAGAAGGGATCTAAGAAAAGAAAGCACAGAATGCCAAAACTAATAGGGCTCTAAGAACACAGGCCATGAAATCTTAAATCTGAAAGCTATGTTAGAGCTTCAGGGCTGGTCACTTAACACTTAGTTGACATCGTACAAGTCGTTTAACATCTATTGACTTCAATTTGAGGGTGGCCTATGTGGCCTCCAGGTTCTTTCTAGCTCTAAATCTACGGTCTTGTAATTCTTCAAAAAGCCCTCAGAACATAGAATGTTGGATCCTAAATGGACCTTAGAGTCCAGAAATTTGAATTCAGAGAGGGAGAGAGGAAAGATGAAGGAGGGAGAAGGTGTGAGCCGGAGCATCGCTGTTAGGTTGAATGAACTTTATTTCTGGGAGAGGAGTGGGATCCAGAATAGAGAACGAGGTGGAATTAGGGAAGGTTCAAGGGCTGAGAGAATGAATGTGGTTAGGGACGGCCGACACCAGGAAACTCTAGACTTGACCCTGTGCTCAAAGACCCAGGAAGATGGGGAAAGAAAGGGGAGTTGCCTGTTCCAACGGAGTGGCTCCCATCCCTGACTCTTTTACGTCAAACCCATTCCCTAAATAACTTCCTCCCAAAAGTCTGTCCACTTCCACTCTCCAATTCTCATGTCTTCAGAGCCTGGGGAAGAGGGTCCCTCCCACCCAGAGACCAATAACCACAAAGGAATTGGGGCACTGCTGATCCAGGCCTTCCCAGAATCCAGACTTCCTTGTACACCCTTCTTAAACCCTGCCCATTCTGAGAAGGTTTCCTGTTCTTCAGTCCTCTGTCTTCCTCCTGGCTCCTCTGCTCAGGGACCCAAGTTGTCCACCTTCTCCAGAGTAACCAAGATGATCTCTGTAATCCCTAGTTATGCCTATTGTTCAGATTAGGAGAAAAAGGATATGGAAGTTCTAGGGTCAATCTATCGCAATGCATGGTCAGGGATGGCCAGGGGATTCTGGTTCTTAACCTAGAAGTTCAGGGGGTTCAGGAGGGCAGGGTCATTGAAATGTCACCTCCTCTTCAAGAGACTCCAGTTCCTGAAGGAGAGGCAATCGAGAGGGAACTGGGCAAACTGGTCGGGTAGCATTTCCAAGTAGGCAATCACCTCCCGGGATATAACCCCCTGCTTCATGGAACCTGGAAGCTCAGTGCTCCCCAAACCATTCTTGTCTCGCTGACCCAACCAGCCCAGAGCCCCTCTCTGAACCCAGGATTCCTATTCCCCCAGCTCCCTGAGACCAGAAGGCATGAGGCAGCTCCAAACCCTGGCCCTCTTCTTTCTCCTCCTTCAGTTTGGTGAGTCTTCAGAAGCTAGAGCCCAGACTATCTGGGTTTGGAGTGGGGGGCCAGGGTTGGGGGTGACAGGGAGAGTGTGACCTAAAGAAGGCAAGCTGGGGACTGAAGGACAATACACCTGGGTTCTATTTTCTTCACTTTTTCTCTCACCGTTTTTGGTCCCCACCTCCTTTTCCTTTTCTCTCCTCTCACATATTTCCTTGGTTTCTGTCTCATTCTCCCAATTCATTTCAGCATTTCTATGGGTCTCTGCCTCATCTTTTATCTCCAAGTTGATTTGTGTCTCCTCACTCCCTTCTGACTAGCTTTCTATCTCCAAGTTGATTTGTGTCTCCTCACTCTCTTCTGATTAGCTTTCTATCTTCCTTTCCTGTTTTCTCTCCTAGAATATGCCCAACTCTGTCTCTTTCTAGTGTCTCTCCATTCTTCTCCCCACCTAATAACATCCCCCCAACTCAGACTCCATGGCAGACAGTAGCCCCAGGGAGCGTAAGGGAACCCAAAGATTCCCACAGGAAAGTTTTCTCCATGGCTTTAGATAGTCCTGGATGATTTGGGTTTGTTTCTTGAGAATTTAAGGGTATCTCTGGGAATAGAGAACAAAATTCCTAGGTCTTGGAAAAAGAGAAGACTAAAGAAAGCCCCCCAGCAATGGAGATCTCTGAAGTCACACCTTATGAAATCTGAAGTCCTAAGATAATAATTCACAAGGATACATAATACCTTAAGGTTTACAACCCTGTGAAGTATGTAGTTCAAGTATTATTACCCCCATTTAAAAGATAAAGAAACTGAGGCTCAAAAATATTAAATAATTTGCCTACGGTCAAATACCTACTAAGTGTTAAAGGCAGGATTTCAATCTACGTCTCACCTATCTCTAAATTCATTGCTTTTTCTACTATACCACGCTAAATGACTCCCCTACCCCTTATCCAAGTCTTACATTGCTAAAATAAGGATTTAGTCACACGTGCTAAGGTAGATACAGGCCTGAGAGACACATAGCTTTACCTCCATCAAGTGCCATAGGCCAGGAGAGGAGGTAGTGGTGAGCTAGGAGAAGGCAAGATCACCATGACCTGGAGAAAACACCCTTACCCATCTGTCATCATTCCTGAAGGAGGGTGTGAAGGTGGCAAGAGTAGGACCCAAAGGGCTCACAAAGAAGGGAGAGGCTCTGGTCTGGGTTTCACCAGCCAGTATGCCAATTAGGACTGAGTAGCACTGGGGAGGGAATGGGTGGGGGACAGACCTACTAGGAGTAGATTTACTGGGAGAGTAAAGCTATATATTTAAATGCCTCTCCTTCATTTGGAAAGAGAAAGGAAGATAGGAGTCAAGAGTGAATTGGAGATGAGGAGAGGGGAGTAAGTAGGAGGCTGGAGGATGGGGTTGATTAGGATGCTGGGAGATGGAGATGAGTAGAAAGCTGAGGGGCTGCAGAGGAAGATGCAGCTGAGTAAAAGGTTTGGTTTAGGGGCTGAGGAGGATGGGAGAGGATGTATTTGAGTGGGAGAATAAGACTTATGAGTAGGAGGCTGAAAGAGCTGATTAAGTAGGAGGCTAGAGAATGCAGCCATGTAGGAGGGTAGGAGAAGGGCACCTAGAGGCAATATGGCAATGTGAAAAGAAAAGGAGATCTGGAATTAGATGACTTTGCATTCAAATTCTACCTCTGTCACTTATGATCAGCGTGACCTTCGACAAGTCTCTTCACCTCACTGACTCAATTTCCTCATTTGCAAAATAAGAGGTTAGATTAAATGGCCTTTATGGTCCCTTGTAGAACTAAATGTCTCCATATCCTTTACAATCTACAGTGCAAGGAAGGTGAGGAGGGTTAGGAGCTTAGATGTTGCAGCTGGAAAGCTGGCTTCCAGCTTAAGCTCTGAGGATATTGTGGTCACAAAAAGTGTAGGAGGAGGGTGGGATGCCAGCCTTCTCCCCTGTTTCCAAATCTCAAGCTAATTAGGGTCAGATAGGGTTACCCTGATCAGACCAGCTCAGAGGGTGAGGGATCACTAGGGAACTGAAAGACAGGACCAGGAGTCAGGACTCCTGGGCTGGTGGGAGGTCAGCCAAACATCTAAAGAGACACTCCTTTCCTGATTTTGCCTTCCCTTCCCTTGGGTGCTCTTTGCCCTGAAAATTGTGCTGCATTCCACCGGCTAACACGCCCCACTCTGGAAGCAGCTGCATTTCCCTGTCCCTGTGTCACCTCCCTGGGATGGGCCTTGGCCATTTCAGGCTGCAGATGAAGACTGGGGTTCAGTTTCATCATCTTGTGACTGCTGGAAGATGTGGGGGATACATGCTCTCTTGAGTGGCTCTAGGAAAATCTGCTTTGGAAATTGTGCTGTCTCTTTGTCCTGCTCTGGTACTGGGACCCCAGAATCCTGTCCCCAGCCTCTCCTCCTCGTCTAGTACCCAGGCCTTCCCCTTAGCCCCTGGCTCTTTTTATTTGGACCTATTGTTGCAATGATAATTGCTTTCCTTGGAGATAAATGACCACACACCTTTTACAATCATAATGACAGATAATTAGGTGTGTTTGCTCCTGATATTATTGGGTAATTACTGTTATTACCAATAAGGGCAAAGAACAGTGAAATTCTCCTCTTAAAACCAAAGGCCATTGAGCCTAGGGGAGGGGCTTTAGTCTGAGAGACAAGAATTCTGGGGTGACTTGGTGTCTAAAGTACAGTTCCCTCTTATCACCCCCCCAAAACCTCACATACACACAAACTGACCAAGAGCAAGAGTTCCTATTCCCTCTGCCCTTAGCTCTCTCTCTCTCTCTCTCTCTCTCTCTGTCTCTCTCTCTCTCTCCCTCCCCCCTCCCTCCTCCTCCTCCTCTTCCTCCTCCTCTATCTCTGTCTGTCCCCTCACCCCACCCCTTCTCACTTCTGTCTCTTTTTCTGAGTGTGTGTCAGCATTTTCCCATTTCCTGTCTCTAGGTTCCAATTCTTCCTCTTCTCTGAGTTTTCTCCATCTCTAGCTATATTGTAAACCTCCATCTATCTCATTCCTTTCCCTGAACTTTGTCCCCCAACATAAGACAGGCAACTACTTCAAGCCCAGAGCCCTGTAGCAGGGGGCTGTCTTTTGCCTTTTGCAAAAGAGCTGAGTGGGCAAATTTCATATTTGCTGCCTTTCTACCTTCCTTTATCTTCCCTCTCACTGCTCTCCCAGGACCTCCATGTTGCTCCCCAGCGCTCTCAAAGCACCTCAAATAGCACCTCACTCAGCCATGCCTCTCTTCCACTGTCCTAGGCTTTAAAATTACCTCTCTTCCCTACTCCTTTCCCCAGTTAAAGTTCCCAGTTTGTTGACATGGCTATCTTAGCTAGACATCAGTCTATCAATCTCACACTAAATAATGGACATTAATCTGTGAGTGTAACTCAATTTTAAGAGAGGAGTTTGCTAACCCAAATGAATTAGCATAATGTATATGGAAAGACATTTTTCAGCATAAGGTGCAGGGGCTCCCTGGGACCACTGCCCACTCAGGGCTAACCCCATGGGTCACTTCCAGTCCCATATCTACTCTCTTATATGTCAGAAAAACTAGAGGTCAGCATTTCTGAAAGGTTGCAAATTCTTTCCTACATTTAAATATTTCATTTTTTACCCTTGCCTATCTTCCTATTTATTCCTTTTTGGTAACTTCTTGGCCCATCCAATCTCCTCATCACTGTCCCCTTTCCCTTTGCCTCTTCTTTTTCTGTTCTCTGTCCCCTCCTGTATTCTTATCTTTCCTCCATTCCCTAGTGCCTCAATTTCCCCATTCTGATAATGGAATGTGTGTCTGGAGGTCCCCCAAAAAAGATCTAGTGGCATCCTAACTGTCCCAGCCCCATACATTGAATTAATTATCTAATTATACAAATAAGCTCCAATCATGGGCCTGTCCATTTCCTGCTGAGGCTGTTCCTCAGCTCCATCTGGTTGGTTTTATTTGAATGTTCAAGTCTGAAGATCTAGGGTCACTAGCAACAAATCCACCCATAGGTGCTGGGAATCGAGCAAGGTCTAAAGGAAATGATGAGGGCTGGGAAATTCTTCAGACTTCATAGCTGGAAGGGTCTTCCAAAGGTCATTTTAAACTTCTTTGTCCCTTAGGGAGTTCAGACCTGGGGAAGAGGGGAGATTGGAAGTAAATAACAGCTCATTCATTTATAGTGCTTTAGAGATTACTAAACCCTTTACTCACAACAACTTTTTGAAGTAGGTAGTACGGGAAATTATAACTCCTATTTTACATAAGAGGAAATGTCCCAGAGAGATGAAATCATGTACCATGTCCACACAGCTGGTAAATGGTAGCGCTGTGATTTGAAAACTGGACTTTGGACTCCAATTCTAAGTTCTTTCTGAACACCACATTATATCTCCCTTATTCATTCAATCAAATATCCAGTCAACATTTCTGGAGACCTTTTGTGCCTAATGCTTTAACTATGTTGTTTCTCATTGTCAGGCCTATAACTCTTTACTAGCAAGTTATCAGAGCCTTGAGAGACTGTTGAGGGTAGAGATGATAATCCTGTATGGTTAAGGTTAGCCCGAGTGCCAGGAGGAATACCTTTAAACCATATAGGCTCTAAGCCTGGTGGTTGGAGAATAGGAGTGGGGCACACGGCAACCAAAGATGAGAGGGTAAGAGAATGTCTGAAGACTGGAGAGAATTTTTTCAGTCTGGGGATGTAGGAGAACTTCAGTGGCAATGGCTGTTGACACTCCATCCTTGTATCTTTATCTTACAGGAACAAAGGAGGCAGAGTCAACTACAGGTGAGTGTCTGAGGCCCTACCAATGGAGTTGGGAAGGAAATAGTGTTCTAGAGTCTCAGAGTATGGACTAAGCAGATAATCTTTACAGACATGAGAAGGTTTCTATCTCATGAGAACTAGAAAACTGGAAACTTTCAGGGAGCATACTTGCTGTCTTTGCATATTTTATGCAGGAATAGTATGGTGAATTTGGCATGAATTCGACTTGATATGCTTTACTCCCAGAGTTCAGGAAAAGAGTAAGTGGGTATAAGTTAGAAGAAGGCAGATTTCTAATCAACATGAGGAGGAACTCAATAACAATTGGATCTGTACCACATTGGAATGGGTTACTTTGGGAGGTGATTAATTCCCCAACAATGGAGCTGTTTGAATGAAGGCTCCATAATCATTTATCGAGGATGTTGTCAAGGGGATGCCTGCTTCACATTGATGTTAGACTAGATGACATTGCTACTTAAGGATTCTGTTTCCATACCTTTTATAATATGAGGCAGATATGGCTTCCCAAAGAGAATTAGGCATACCAGAGAAATCCTGACAGGCAAAAATAGCTAGTCAAGAAGAGATCAGAGAGGATACAAGAGCAGTTACTGAGGTCCCAAGAATAGATGAGGAAAAATGAATCGCAAAGGTGAGGGAAACTATAGGCCAAAGAAAAGAAGACAGAAAGGAGAAAAACTTATGAAGTCAATTCCAGCTCTAACCTACTACGACTCCAAAAATAATAGTTCATGTTTACAGTGGGAGAGACATGCCCTCCACAGGGCAGCAACAGCAACATCTACTTTTTTATTCTCCTCTGCTTCCCAGCTTGTGGTCAGCCCCGAATGCTGAACCGAATGGTAGGAGGCCAGAATGCCCAAGAGGGGGAATGGCCCTGGCAGGTCAGTATCCAGAGGAATGGGACCCACTTCTGTGGAGGAAGCCTCATAACGGATCAGTGGGTCATGACAGCAGCTCATTGCTTCTCTAAGTAAGTCCCACATGCCTACAGTCCAAACTGCCCCTATACCTTTGGATTTTCCCTGTCTCTAGGCTTCTGTTCATTTCAGCACCATGGACAGCCTTCTGCCCGCTACAATCCCTACTAGCCCCACTTTCCCCTCATTCTCTAGCACCATAGACAGCAACACAATGCCTGGTCTTAGCCAGACCTATCCTATCTATTCATCAACACAGATAAATCTCCTAGGTTCTTTGGTATTTACTACACTCTTTGACATAAAATAGACAAACAATGACTGGTAGAGACTTGATAACACAAGGATGCAAATTAATATCTACTGATTCCAAGTTTAGGGTTCTTTCCACTATATTGTGCTGTGTATGATGCCATCTCACAATTCTTAACTCTTTATTATCACAAAGCAATTTCCTCACAAAAACACTGTGAGGTAGGAAGTGCTTCAATTATTATTATTATTCCCATTTCATGGTAGCAGAAACAAAGGCTCAGAGAAATAAAGTGACTTTGACCCAAGTCTCCTGACAGTTCAGTGTTTTTTCCACTAGGCCAAATTTCCTCACTTAGTTTAATACAGGCCAGAGAAGCCCTGCACCACTGAGCAGATACAACCAGGGGCATCCTTTGGGTATGAGTTCTCCATGAGAGAGAACCCTCATCATGTTTTGAGAACCCATCCCAGTGCCTCATTGCTTTCGCAGATGAATTTTCTTTACATTGAAATTCAATTTATCAAATTTTCCTGAGCAGAGTTTACATGGCTAACTAAATACAATGCATTATTATGGAGGCTGGGAGGGAATGAAATGACTAAGAAACAATCCTGTCTTAAGGCTCCTTACAGCCTAGGAGAGGGAATTAAATACATAAAAATAACAATAAATACATAAAAATAACAGAAGACTGTGAGAAAGACCAAAAGAGAGGTATGAACAAATGCTTTGGGAGTTCACAGAATGAAATGATCACATCTGCTTGGGAGAGGCATCATGATTTAATGGTAAGCACATTAAATCAGGAATTAAAGGACTTGGGTTTGCACATCAGTTCTGCCACCAACTAATTTTGTAACTTTGGGACAATGACTTCATTTTTCTGTACCTCAGATCCCTCCTCTATAAAAATGAAAGCTAAAAACTAGATAATTTCAACTAGATGATTTCTAGGATCCTTTCTGCTCTCTCTCTCTCTCTCTCTCTCTCTCTCTGTATGTATGTAGAAGTGAACCTAAGACCTCAAGTTCAACTCCCTCATTTTTACAGATGAGGAAACCAAGGTCATGACTTGCCAAGGGTCACATTCCTAGTGAGGAAGATTTCTTGCCAATAATGGCTTTAGAGTTAGGCCTTAAAGGGTCACACACAGACACACACACACACACACACACACACACACAGACACACACTGGGCAGGTACAATTGCAGTATCTGCCATTATCTGTAGGTCTGTTCTCAGGGGAGGATGTTGAAGCTAGTCATTTGGTCTCTGTGTTCATGCATGCTTGCTTGCTTTCTAAGGCTGTCCCAGTCCCTCAAGCAGTTCCCTAAACCAGCTCCTGTTGCTCCTTCTCATCCTATTCTGACTCTTCCTAAATTCTGTCCCTTTTTGTTTCCCCCTCTTCTGATGCTCTTTGCCACATTATGGAGCCTTCTGGTGAACATTTCTCCTGTACTCTGTGGCTTTGCCTATTCCTTTCAAAGATTCTCAGTACCACGGACATCTCCCTGTGGCCAGCCCTCATTCCATTTTCAAAACCAGACACCTCTTTCTATCTGATTCTCATAAAAGGTTCTTAATAAGATTTATAGCTGAAAGGGTTACAGTTCACCTAAGCCAGCCTCTTCATTTTATAGATGAGGAAAGAGTCAAGCAAAAATGGGAAATAGTGTTAACTCACATTTCTATAATGATTTAAAGATTACAAAGCACTTTCTCCATTTAAAGGAGAAAATTAGGGTCTGGGAAGGTAAACTGGTTCTTAGTAAATATTAGGGTCTAAATTGGAGCCTAGCCCTTGTATCTTCAAATGCACTGCACCACACCGAAAACAAACTGGAATCTCTTCCACATTCTACACTCTCAGGTGCTCAGGATATTTGTGCTATCTCCTGGATGCCTACTATGCCTACACATACATGTATGGTACTTAATCTGCCCCAGGAGACCACAATCATAGAAATTGGAGAGAATCCCAATTTCTATGAACCACATAGAACTACAGAGTTTCAGAGCTTGAAGGGATCTGTTTCCTCATCTGAAAAATAAGGGGGTTGGATTAGATGACCTCTGAGGATTAGAAAGATAAGGGTCACATAGTGAATTAGTGGCAAAGCTGAAATGTTCATTTAGATGCCCAATCCAGAGCTCTTTCTAGTGCACTACCCCTGGATGCTTTGTGTTCCTAAATTCTCTCTCTCCCTCATTCTCCTCAAGAAACGAATGTCACATTAAGTTGAGAGTAATTGATAAACTCTCTTACAGTTGTCTTCATTATAAATGAATCCTCAGAGAGGAATTTTTGTAAAGCAAAAGACTGACTCTAAAGGTGGAATTTTAGGCATAATTATGAGACAAAGGGAAGATGTTTTTGGAATCACATCTCATGGGTAACAACCTGCCCCACTATCAGTGTGATGCAATGGAATTAAGCATGGGACTGAAAAGGAGCCATCCTGGGTTCTAGTCTCAACCTCACTCTGGGACCTTGTTTTTGAAACTCTCTTTCCCTCTCTGGGATTCAGGATCCAACCTTGAACAAGGAGGACACTGGGCTACCACAACTCTGACAAACTGTGAACTTAAGAATGAAAGTAGAGTAAACAGTGATGTAGTACAAAAGAGTGCTGGATTTGTAATCAGAGAACCAACAAGAAAGAATTTATTGTTAAAGTAGGAATGATGGGAACCTTGAGGGGAAATGACCCTTCTGTCTCAGAAATCATGATAGAGGTGGTAAGGAAAGCCAGGTATAATCTGACATGTACCAAAAATCAAAGAGCAAATTTCAAAGGACTCAATGAAAGATTAAGTAGGACGCCATGGCCTAAAATTCTAGATAGAAAGTCCCTCCAGAAGGAATAGGAGGCTCTCACAAATAAAATTATGAGAATTATTTCTCATAATTTCAGAAACAATTCCAATGAGGAAGAAAAGAGACAGTTTTTGAAAAGGATTTATAGGGATTAATCCACGAGGAATTAATCAGCTAATTTAGATTTTAAAGAGAAATGTTATACTGAAGGCAGAAGCAATGGATAAAATAGGGTGAATACAAAAGTGGCACAATCCTATAAGAATGGTGTCAGAAGGGCTAAAATTCGGAATGAGTAATTAAAATTAAGATAACAAAAATAGTCTGGTTTTAAAAGTTATTTGAAAACAAACAGGCGGATCAAAGAAGAGGTAGGACCACTGTTTGAGTAAGGTGATGATAATGTATAATAGAGGGAAGATAGAACTACTCAATTCTTATTTTGTGTGGGGTTTCTCTGACAAATAGAACATTACTTGTACTGGAAAGAACTGAAACTAGCTAATAGGGCCAGAACCTACAGATAACAAAGAAGTTAGTAAGAGAGTAGATAGCTACTTTGAGCTTGTTACCAAGTCCATATGGATTATAATCCAGGACTTTAAAGGATTAGCAAATGTGACCGCTAAACCTCTCCATGATCTCTGAAAAGTGGTAGAGAATAGGTGAAATACCACAGGACTGCAGAAGAAAAATACTGTCTTAATTTTTCAAAAACAAGAGTGTATCTTGAAATCTATGCACCATACAACTTGACTTTGATTCCTGACAAAATTTTGGGACTCATTATTAAAGGGATTTTTCGTGAACAACTAGAAGAAAAAGTAATGATCACAAAGAACAGCATGGCTTTACTAAAAATGCCCGATGAACCTAATTTTCTTTTCATTTTTTGGTTTGTTTCTGACAATGTTGCTAGATTGGTACATTCTCTAAACTTCAGCAAAGAATTTGGCAAAGATTCTCATGCTATCATTGCGGACAAGGTAGAGAGGTATAAGCTAGATGACAGCTGAATTAGGTGAATGTGAAAATAATTTAATGTCTAACAGAAGTCATTAATGGTTCAGTGCCAACTTGAAAGGAGGACTCCATTGGTACGTAGCAGGTACTTAATGTTTGCTGATGGATTGTTTCATAGAGTATCCTGTGCTATTTGATATTTTTATCGATAACTTGGATGAAGGCATACATAGCTTGGTTATTCTATTTGTAAATGATGCAAACTGGGAGGGATTGCTAGCATGGAGAATGACAGATTCTGGATGCAAAAATGTTCTCGGCAAGCTAGAAGAACAGGAAAAATCTCATCAAATAAAATTTAATACGGCTCAATATAGAGTCTTGAGTTCAAAAAAATCAACTTTGGGGCAGCTAGGTGCATGGTGGATAGAGCACCGGCCCTGAAGTCAGGAGGACCTGAGTTCAAATCCGGCTTCAGACGAAACACTTGACACTACTTGTGTGACCCTGGACAAGTCACTTAACCCCAATTACCTAAAAATAAAATTTTAAAAAATCCACTTCACAAGTACAGCATAAGGAAGGCATGGAAAACAAAAATATAGATATGGGGGGTCTTAGTGAATTGCAAGTTTAATGTGAATTAAAAGTGGACTAAGGCAGCCTAAAAAGTTAACAAAATGTTAAACTGTATTAAGAGAGGGAGAGCGTACAGGACAATGAAGGTCATGGTCACACTATCCCCAGTTTTGGTCAGACCACCCCTGGGGATTGGGTTACTTCTAGACATCTCATTTTAAGATGTATACTGATAATCTAGAAAACACCTAGAGGACAACCTAGACAGTGAGGGGCCTCAAGAATCTTCTGAAGTAACTGAGAATACTAATTCTGGAGACAAGAAAATTTGGAGGAGATATGGTAGCCATCTTCAGGTGTTTGAAGAACTCTCGTGGAGAAAAGAGATTAATCTTGTTCTGCTTGATTCCAGAGGGCAGAGGGGTAGATTAAGGTTTGATGAAACAATTTTGAAGCATTAGAGTTGCCCAAAAGTACAACAGGATGCCTCAGAAGATAATGGGTTGCTACTCAGTTGAAGTCTTCAGTTGCGAGTAGATGTCTTTTTGGAATGTTTGCATAAGTGTTACTCAGTCAGGTATAATTTGCACTCTGTTTCCTTCCAATTCTGAATTCTGTAATTCTATTACCTCTGTTTTAATACCAGCTCTTCTCTAAGGGTGGCAGTGTGACATAGTAGAAAAAAAGGCTGAACATAGAATCACAGAGCTCAAGTTCAAATCTCAGCCTTAGCCATTTACCTCTTGTGCAGCCCAGATCAAGTTGCCTAACATCTTCTGAGCTTGTTTTCCCATGTGCAAAATGATGGGGATGGACTATCAGGGCTTCTTAAACTGTGGGTCACATATGGGTCATGAAAAATTTGACAACAGTAAAAAGGTTTCTGAACATGTGACAACCAAAAACTAATTAAAAATCAAACGTGTCTGACCTCAAACAATTCACTTAATTTTTCTGGGCTTGTTTTTCTATAAAATGAAGGGATAGCTTAAATGATTTCTAAGATCCCCTCTAGCTGTAACCTGTGATTGTCCTACATAGTCCTTCTTTCCCTTTTCCTATATGACTGTTCACTATCAGGATGAGCCTTCTTGTTACTTACTGTTCATTTTGTCTTTTTCTTCCTCTATCAGTACCTCGGAAACTTTCCTGTACAAGGTTCTACTAGGGGCCCAGCAGTTGGTGAATCCTGGGCCTCATGCCATGTATGCTCGAGTAAAGAGGGTGGAAAGCAATCCCCAGTATCAGGGCATGGCCTCTAGTGCTGACGTGGCCCTGGTCCAGCTGGAGGCTCCAGTGACCTTCACTGACCACATCCTGCCTGTGTGCATTCCCAGCCCTGAGGTCAAGTTTGAGGCAGGGATGAACTGTTGGGTCACAGGCTGGGGCAGTCCCAGCGAGCAAGGTAAACTGAGGGAAAAGGCAGATCGGGATTTTTCAAGGAAACTAAAGGTCCTAGGGAGAGAATTAGAGCCAGAAAGAGAATGGGGTACCTGCAGTCAAATATTTTGAGGCAGGGAGGGGAAAAAGCATAAAAAGCATCAAGAAATTAAAAGATGCTTTCCAAGTTCTGACTTCTGTGCCTACCTTGGCATTCCACTGGGGAAGAAGTATCTGTCAGAGGCCCACAAGCTAAATGGTAGTGAGATTGCAGCAGTCTCATTAATAGCTTGAAGACAGGATTGTAGGATGCATGAACAACAAAGATACACAATATCTGAGACAATCTTCCAAATTAATCTCCCTTCTCTCCTACCCCACATTTTAAATGAGATGAGAATTTGGAAAAGGAGGGCACTAGGATGATGAAAGAGTTGGGGAAAACAGAAGAGAAAAAGGTAGCTAATAATCATTAGTGGTGAAGTCATGTTCTTGTTCTGGGGACCAGGTGTGTGATGTTATGGGGAAAACTCAAAGTACTGGGGTCTCCCTCCCTCTAGATAACCTGCCCAGCCCCCAAATTCTACAGAAGTTGGCAGTGCCCATCATTGACAGACACAAGTGCAACATCCTCTATAACAAGGACTCAGAGCATGGAGTGCTACCCAAAACCATCCAAGACGACATGTTGTGTGCTGGTTACGCAGAGGGGAAGAAAGATGCCTGCAAGGTATGTCCCTATTCCAGGGGCTTGCCCCCGGGCCAGAGGTTGACGACAGAGCTCCTGGGAGGGTGGAAGTTTAGGCCCTCGGTTCCTAACACAGAACAAGCCCTGTGTGCAGATTTTTGAGTTAATCAAGGTAGTGAAGTAAAGAGGTTTGAGTCGGGTGTCAGGGAATCTTGGTGTGAGGCTTGATTAGGCCAATGAATTACTGTGTAACACTGTCCAAGTGACTCCCCTTTTATTTCTACCTGTTATCTCTAAAATGGGGAGGCTGAAATAAAGAACGACACCAAGGTTGTAAACCTGGGTGACCTTTAAACTGGTAAAGGACACTTGATAGCGTCCTTTAAAGAAATAGGGCAGTTCTGAAGAAGGGTAGATTTAAAGTAAAAGAATGAGTTCTGATTTGGATGCATTGAACTCAGAAGATCTAATATGCAGTTGACGATGATTTAGCTGTGTGGGTTGTACAACTACTAAGCATCTGAGACAGAAGTCCAAATTGGGTTTCCTTGACCTCAAATCTCTGGATAAATCTAGTCCTGGGCTTTGGGGAGTGCCAGTCTGGTGGGAGACACAGGACACATACACACACATTACACACAGGTGACACAGACATATACCAGTGCAGATTGTACAGAAATAGGGAATATTTTCAATTGGGATGGATGACAAAAGCTTGGTGGGTTTAGGAAGGCTTCCTGAAGTACATGCTTTGAAGCCTTAAGGGCTTCAAGCCTTTTTGGAAGGTTGGTAGGAAGGACAGAGGGGAATGGAGGAGGCCACGGTAGGATGGAAAAGAGAGAAGGGGAGGAAGAAAGGAAGAGAAAAGAGAAGGCAGTGAAAGAAGGAAGGAGAACAAAGGGGAAGAGAGGTAAGGAAGGAAAAGAATGGAGATGACAGGAGAGAGAAAAAAAGATAGAGATGAGCTCAGAGGCAGAAAAGACTGGGTCGTGATACCAGTTTGGGATTGGAAGCAGATGGCTCAGTGGAATGAGGGCACTGGGCCTGAAGTTAGGAAGACCTGAGTTCAAATGCGGCCTCAAACACTTCCTAGCTGTGTGACCCTAGGCAACTCACTTAACCCTGTGTGCCTCGGTTTCCTGAACTGAGTGCGGATAACAGCATCTACCTTGAAGGGCTGTTGTGAAGAACAAATGCGGTATTTGTAAAAAGTGCTTAGCACAGTGGCTAGTACATAGTAGGTGCTATATAAATGCTTCTTCCCTTCCCCTTGGGGGATGCTTAACCATGAGTTTTGCTTCCTGCTACAGGGTGACTCCGGGGGACCCCTGGTCTGCCACATTGGTGACTCTTGGCTCCAGGCTGGAGTGATCAGCTGGGGAGAAGGCTGTGCCCGCCGCAACCGGCCAGGAGTCTACATCCGAGTGGCTTCCCATCACGCCTGGCTCCACAGGATCATCCCAGAACTGCAGTTCAAGTCTGGCTCTGACAGGAAGAGGGGGCCCCGGGGCCAACAGACCTCCAAACTAAATTTTGCTCCTGGCTTGGCCGCCCATACCCTGCTCCTCGGCCTCACTGTTCTGCTCACCTTTTGAGCCGAACCAGACCCACCTGGGCCAAGGCAGAGGCCTGAGGATTAGAGGCTCTGGCCACTCGATTGCCTGTCCGTGCTTGGCCCGCCCTGTTAGCCCACGGGAATGTGAACTGAAAGGGAATCTGCCTGGAAACTTCAGAGCCCAGACACTGGAGCTAGTGAAAAGGAGGATCCCACTGCTATTCTACTGGGAGCATGCTCCCTTAAGGGCAGGCTGGCACTGCAGGGAGTAGCCAGGGTACCATCTTCCCTTCACAAGTCAACACTGTATATTTGTAAATATCCCTTCTGTTCTTCATAAGCCTATTTTTATTATATTCGCCCATTAATAAAGCCCACATTCTCCATTCCTGGATGCCTCAGCTTGCAGTGGACAGGACATCTTGGATGTGGGGAGGGGATCGACAGGGCAAGAATGCACTTGGTGCTACTGGAAGGGGTCCTATGTGACGCAGGATGATCTAGGTGAAAACTGAAGCAACTGCAGTAGGAAAGGGTGAGGGAGGTATTGCAGAAGCAGTACCATACTTAGGGAGCCTGAAGATTTGGGAGAGGCCAATCTCTGCTACTGACTAGGTGTGTGACTGTGGACAAAACATTTCATCCCTCTGTGCCTCAATTTCATCATCTGTAACATGGGAATAATACACTCGCGCAGGTCAGTTGTGAGGAAAAGTGCTTCATAAACTTTAAAGCACCACAGAAATGTGAATTATTATTTTTATTATTACTATCAGTTGGAGGAGGACCCCCAGGGTCTGAACAGAAGAGGGAGGAATTGGAGAAGTGTCAGGAGCCCTGGATCCTGGGAAGCACAGGGCCTAGGAGCTAGAAAACAAGACTCTTGGTTTCTGAAGGGATTGTAGATGTCTAATAGCCTCCAAAAGTCAGAGGCCCCAAATTTAAGGGTGATTCAGTGGCAAGCCAAGTTGTCAACAGCAGGTCACCTGGGAATTTCCCTCCAGGGAGGGAGGAACCAGGAAGAGTCCTAGGTGGTGGCAGAAACAGAAGAGGGCTGGGGCCCTCCAGCAAACAAGAGGCTCTGGGGTGGGACCTAGGAGGATTTGAACTACAGGCCTCAGTTCTCCCAAAAGTAAAGTAGAGTTGCAATCTCTAAGGGCCTTCCAGCACCCACAAAATCTAATTGTGAACTTTTGGTCACAGGGCATTCAGGGAATGGGAAGTGGCACCAATGGGGGAATCTGTGGGTGTGGAGAATGCTGAAGTCAAACTTGGCCAACATCACAACCCCACTCTAATTAATGACCCTTTGGCCCACTGCCATGCTTTTCTGGGGTTTCCCCAGAAGACAAAGCGCAATGGCTAGAGCCTTTTGGCACTTTTGCAGGAAAGAAAAGAAAAAGCAAGCTCTGTTTCTTTACCACCCCATCTTGCAAAGCCTAGAATCCTTCCCTCCCCCACCCCCCAAATTCTGCCTAGTCAACTTCACGACTTCTAATCCGCGAACAGCTGCCACGATAAGCAATCCGACTGGTGCAGCCTGGCCCTAGAGTGTAAGACTAGGGTCAATGGTGAAAGGTGTGTGCAGTTAACAATTAGAGCCCTCCCACAACAGAATGGGCTACCTCAGGCATCCACAGCTTTACTGACTCCCAGGTTCCTGTTTTTCCCCATTCCCTACACTATCTGGAAAGGACCTTTGAAGTTATCTCATCCAACCGCCAAACTGAACGGATGATGAACAGGCCCTTGGAGATGTGGTGACTTGCTTCTATCTTGGCTCCCAAGCCCTGTCAATTCTACCTCCATACACCCCCCATGCCTGCGGTACGACAGCTTAGAGCTTCACCTCTTTCTTGCCTGTATAACTGTGACAGCCTCCTTTCCCAGCTGGACGTTCTCTCCAAATTTCAATACTCTTCCCAGACACATCCTTTGTATTACTCACATCCTATACTCTATGCCGGTTCTAGGTTTACATTTAATCTCCTGGACTATGGGGCTCCTTAAAGGCCAGGAGGGACCAGCTTTTTCCCTCTCTGTATCCTCAATGCTAGCACAATGTTCTACACATACCAGACACTTAATACATTTGTCAAATAGACAAAACCCTCCCATACCTTGGCTTGTACCTCTTGGGCACAGAGGCTGATGAAATGATAGACACAGCCCAGACAGTTCACACTCAAACTTGGACAACGGTTGTTGATCTTCATTGGTGGAAGGTACCTCCCCTCCAAGGAGTAAATTACACTTAATTAAATCACAGGTCTGGACAATTCGCTAAGTTTTCCATGAAGTTTATTGCTCGCTGTTTCCCATGTCCATCTTCCAAACTAGGCTAAAAGCAACGTGAGGGCTCAGTCTTACTTCTTCAATATTCCCCATGGTGCCCAGAACAGTGCTCAACAAGTGGCAGGTCTTCAAGAAGGGTTCAATGAATAAAAACAGGTAGAAACACAAGAGACGGACAGAAAACATTTTCAGATCAAACCAAAGTTTTAAAAGGGAAAACAGGTTTATTTCATGCAATTTACAATTCACAATAAGCTTAGTGTTATGAAAAGGAGGTTAAAAAACACCCACACATTTTGTCATATTTGTTCTGGAAACAGCGGGCAGCCCCTTCCCTCTTTGGACAAAGGAGGGAGCCCCAGGTAAGGTTCCCTCCCAGACTCCTCTGGATGGGCTGCTTAGATACAACTTCCCATGTGCACTAGGTGCTGCTTCTAAGTTTAACCTTGATGCAACTTTAAAGCCCAGGAGCCAGAGCCCACTCTCGGCTCCAAGCTCTGCTGCGATAAGAACACTTTAAAAAGAGTGAAATGAAGACTTATTGCTAATTTGCTAGCTGGGAAATAAAGCATCACAGACATAACCTCAGGAAAGTGGTGGGCACTGAAAAACACAGCCAAATGGATAATTTTCTCCCTAGCAAACCCATGAGAAAATGGGAGCACTTGACAAGAACTGGGAGGCTCACAGGAAGAGCCTTCACTCAAGTCCAGCCCAAATGAAGACGAGCCTTAACTGAGCAGTCTTGTCTAGGAGCAGCAGCAGCTCAGTAGCCTTTGGGGAAGGAAAGAAAAGAGTAGTCAGAAACATACATCCCTTTCCAGTGTCCCCAGGGTCTGAACCAAGGAAATGGTCCACATCCTTGGGGAACCACTGCTCTACTAGCCAGGGCCGAACTTGTGCATAAGCATCTTGGTCAGATCTCCAAAACGGAGAAAGAGTACCAAGTAAAGCAAAAAAAATGCCCGGCCCCTATCACAATTATTCAGGCCTTCAAGGGGAGGTGCCTTGAAACTGGTTATCATTTCAGACCAATCACCTCACAGTGGCAACTCTAGTAGCAACAGTGCCAAAGTACTAAGTCCAGAGAAGCAACTCAGAGCTCAAAGCCAAGCTGGAGGTTCCAGGATTGGTTCAGTCAATCAGAAGGGATGGGAGGTTTGGGGGAGTGTTTAGAGGAAAGGCATCATCCCAATCTTCTCGCCTATCACCTGAAATTCAAACAGGTTGCAGTGACAGACAGATATTCAGAAATGGAAGGTAAGAAGAGGAAAAAAGAGGGACAGAGAGGGAAGAAGGCAAAGAAATCTCTCCTCCCCCCAATGACCAAAGGACAGTGGTATCAATAAATCAGACCCTATGGAGACCTAGTCTTCCCCAAGGGCATGTGCATCTGATCCAAAGTTATTGGGTTTTGTCTTTTTTTTTTTTTAAAGGCAGCAGCTACTCTTTCAAAGTAAGTTTGAGCACCATTTCTAATTGTAGACAGACAGACACATAGTCCCCAAAGACAGACCTGGAAAGTGTTAGCCCTTAACATTATCCACTGCAGCAAAAGTGCGAGTTCCTTAGGACAGATAACAACAAAAATAAAACAACTAAAAAACCCCACGATGGTGCAGAATTAGCCCTTTTTAGTCCCAGTCAGGCAGAAAGGCCAAAGTTGTTGCCAGGGCAGTCAGACCCAATAGGCCATTGCCTTTGAGGAAGACAGTCACTGGAGACTGCTATCAGCCAGTAGGTAAACCCTACGTGGGGACACAGTGATGACAACTGTTTTTCTGAGTGTTCTTTGGACCCACAGGGGAGCCCCTATTTCAAAGCATGTTCTAAGGATTAACCCTTTGGCTTTTTCAAGGGGTTTCTGGAAAAATGGGGAACAGCCTGAAATAATGGCCAAAGCATCATTCCTGAGTTAAGCCCCAGAACTGATAGAGACTGACACCTCCCTCTCTGGAAATGCTCGGCTTTCTGTTCCACTCCCTCCCACCTGCTTGGACTTCAGTTTCTGTGTAATTAGGGCCAGAAAATAAAGAATTCACTATAGAGCAACAGGGTGGTACCAGGAGCACATCTTAAACTCCCATTTTTCTCCAGCTGCAGCAGCAGCAGCAGTAGGCTCTATAGTTCAAGTTCTGAAAGAAGAACCCCTGGACTACTGGACCGGTCAACTAATAAGAATCAATTAAGATTTTCATGGGCATTATAAAATTAAAAGAGCAACAAGATTTGACCAGCAACTCTATGAGAAATACCCTAGACTCCTGAAGGTCACATCTGTACCCTGATACTGGCAGGAAAGCTATAGGCTAATTAGTTTTTCATGGAATTTTAGTAAAAATCTTTCCAACGATGGTACAGAATTTCCTGAAGTAGCTTTTCTGCTAGTTTATACAGAAGATATTGAATGAGAATTTATGCTTCAGAGGACAGTTTGGGTGAAAGAAACCTATGGCAAACTGCTCTTACCCACAGCTGGACAGAGAGGATTCACCAATGCAGACCAGACACCAGCATTTCTATAGCCTAATACTCTTCTGACTGGGAGATAGTGGCAGGTGTGAAAATCCTAACAGTCGTTAGAGTGATAAGCCAGGTGCACATGGCAGGCCTCTTCTGGAGGCAGTTATCCGTACCTAGTCTTGGATACAAGATTTCAAAAACACAAGGAATAAAACAGCTATTACAGAAGGTCCCTGGGAGTTCTAGGGGAGAAATAACCCTGGCCTAAGGTGTGATTTCATGGGCCATGAGAATGCGCTACTTAGTAAGGGAAATTAGAAGTTTTTTTCTTTCTTCCAAAAAAATCCTTTCAAATGAGTTTAGAAATTTCCCATGAAATTTGGGAAACTGTCATTTGTAGTCATCGTTTTTCTTTTCAGCCAAAGAGACAGACATAACAATAATAACTTTATGAGGTATCAGTAAAATTTCATTTTTAAATGGTGCTCCTTCCCCTCCACCCCCACCCCCAAACAGTGGAATAGCGGAGGCAAAAAGGCAGGCAATGCCATGGGGAGAAGCAGATGAACAATGGCAAAGTATTCCAGTATAAAGTCACTCCATGAAGGAAATTCTTCAATTCTGGACTACT